CGCAGCCCCCTCCGCCCCGCCGGCAGATGGCGCCCGCAGGCGGCGGGAACCGCTAACCCCCCCTCATGGCCGGGGGTTCCTGAGGGGCATTTCCCTTCACCTCACAAGGCGAGACAGCCCCATCCACACTCCAACATGGGCTCCTCGAGTTGTGTAATGGTTAGAATAGTATAAAAATTATAAAAGAATGCCATTTGCTGGTATCTGGGCTCGACAGTGCTGTGCTGGGGGCACAAGATGGGTGTCTTCAGAAACCTGCCCTGTATGCTCTTAACACAGTATTTGTGTGGGCTCAAGGTACGGGGAGCCCTCAGCGACAGCGGTGTCATGCCTGCTCTCCTCAAGGCAGCTCCTTCTCATTCTCCGGAGATCTTTAAAACCTGCTTGGACACAGCCCTGTTCCAAGTGCTCTAGGTGACCTTGCGTGTGCAGGAGGGTTGGACTAGATGACCTCTGGAAGTCCCTTCCAACCTTCATGATTCTGTAATTCTAACATACACTTGAGGCCCTTGAAGCAAGCTCAAACTCCTTGCTGCTTCTCTGCGCTCATTTCATGTCCACAGAGGTGTCCTCCCTCCTTCAGGACCCTCGCAGTGCCAGCAGAGCTATGTGACACTTGTAAGAAATCTTTTCAATATTGAGCAGCCTTTCAGCTGGAGACCAACCCTGTGATAGCTTTTCTCGGTATTGCCGTCACTCAAGGAGCTCCTGTGGGTTGGCCCTATGGGGTAAAGGTCTCTGTGAGCTGCACAAAAACCGGGGCACAAAAGGCCCTGCAGCGCTAAGCTAACACGCTGAAAAGCGCTTTGCCTTTTGGAGGAACTGGCAGACCTGGAGTGTGTTAGGTTTCATTAAGAAGTCCCTTTGTCTCCTGCTTGAGTTAAATGCAAGAGCTGGTTTTCCAAAAAAACTCACTCCACGCCGCGGCGGTGTCCCAGGCGCTCGCAGTGGTCTGCGTGAATAAGCGGCCCATTGCGCCTAAGCAAAGCGCCCCGAACGCGCACACATCTTTTCCCATTCCTTGCCACTGTGTAGCTTAATGATGGTAATTGCAATGACTTGGGTACAAACAGCTATACAGCCAGTGGCAGTCCTCAACTGGAAGTAATTGTCACAGCTGCTCTGTGGAGCTCTGCCAACTTAAAACATTGCAGGATTTTCTCCTGTGAGCCTGTGCAGAGAAAGATGAGGCACAGGGAAACAGAAATGCAGGAAGGGAAGTATACAAATGAACTTGTCACAGCTATTTTTTCCCATTCCTATTGAGCTATAAAGCTTGTTTTTTTGTTAGCTTCAAAAGCACAGAAATAGCTTTCTACCAAAATTATGGCACAGAAGCTAATGTGACATTAAAGATTTCTTTTTTTCTGTGCATAGAAATATTGAACAATATTGTCTGCAACAGAACACTAAGCTGTCTTGCTGAACTAAACCAATATATTTCAGGTGAACATTTTGACCCCTAACAATTATGAAGACAAGACACAAACTACCATTAAAAGAAAAATCGTCATGCCATTTTTGTAAGAGAATAAAAAGACCATATACTGAGGGAGAAACAAGTGCATCTTCCCATTCCCCAAAAGGCAGCATACAACCGTTGCCTATGGTTTAAAACTACAAATATTCAGTATAATTCATACATCCACATTGCAATCAGAGGGGAAAGGCATGTCTCAGCTGCTTTCAAAACTGCCAGCATTAAGGAAGGCTGCAAGCCTTCCTGTACTTAATAGGAGAACTCTCCTGCCATAGCAGAGTGTTGGGCCTTTCACGTGTCACTGCTTGACAACATGTTTTAAAATTGTTCACTAATGCATTTCTCCTCTCTGAAGAGTTGGAGTTGTCAGGAAGGGGAAAAAGTCAACTGCAATGACGTGGCCAGGCCACCATCAGGAAATGGAAGCAGATGGAAGCAAACCAAATGCTAACATTTGTTCACAAATGATTAGTAAATGCTTACGAGGAACAGATACGTTTACAGAGATTACCATTTGGGAGTGAGTGATGCACAAATGAAAAAAACAAAGGGGCTAAATTCCCTGGCTAATATTTTCGTGACAAACAGTTGACTGCACCTCATTACATATTTCCTTGCAGTCAGAAACCAGAATGCAGCCTTGGCCAAAATCAGCCCTGGTTTCGTGCAATAATGTTAGGGATGGTAGTGGCCACATTGCAGGGTTTTCTTTTCCTGTCCTTCAAATGCTTCACTGATGTTTGCAGGAATGTCAGGGAAGGTTCCAGGAACTGAAGTGCCCTGTGTTCTTTGCGAAAGCTAGGCTGAACTGTCTGATCGATGAGTGAGAGACTCTCATCAAACAATTAAATGGTCTCTGTTTCACTTACTGAACCAAATGTTTTTCCTCTTCATACCATTCTAACATCTTCTAGTACACACCTCCTAGTAGAAAAATATTTGGATGATTGTACAAATGTGCCTTTATGAGGTGGACCTTGAGTGGGCACAGAGGGAAGCGCGGGATGGTTGAAAGGGGAAGCAGAAAGCTGGAGCTAACCCATTTCCACTCTCTGGGAGTAGGAGAGAGAAAAATGGCTGGGAGGTTTCCAACACAACAGGTTTTCAGGAAAACATTTCACTTTCAACAGAAAGGCCTGATTCACTGAAATGAAAATGTTTTAGCGAAAATCATCTTTTCCAGTGACCTTCTAGCAGAGCTTGGGCAAGATGCCACTGAAATCCACCTGGTGCCCTGCGCACAGAGTTGGAGAGGTCACCACACTTGCTGTGTGAATCCCACCCAAATCAGGGACTGCAGGGCTCCTGGGCTACCACCTGAGCTGCAGGGCAGGGAAAACCAAGGTTCATGTCTGCCCACGAGTCATAACTTCCCAGGCTGCATCGCCTCTGTGCTCAGGATGACTCCTGTCTACTTCTCTAGAAACTGGACGGAAGTATACTTTTTTTTGGAATTTTATCCTAAAAATTCTGAATGACTGCGGTTTTCTACCTTTAGAAGTTTTTTTTAAAGCTACTCCAGTAGTGTTTGTTCTTTGTCCCGGGAATAGGAATTTATGTCACACTTGAGCCTGTCTTTCTCTAGCTTTCAGTTTCTAGGTTGTATACCTTCGTCTGCAAGAACAAAAAGAAGAAAAAGAAGAAAAGCTCCCTCTACCTCATCGCTTCTCTATGAACACATGTGCAAGGTGAATTTAAGCTCTCCTGAGGTAAGTCTGCATTATTTTCCCCATGACTAACATTAAAATAATTGATCTTATCTATGGTTTACCCTTTGGCCAGCCGCCAGTGTTTTGGAAAAGCCCCATTTTGTAAAGATTTTATTAACATTTACCAGAGTAGTTAAAAGAGCTTTCCAGCTAATGCATGAGACTCTTACATGCAAGCTGCCCAGCGTTTGCTTAGTCCTGGCAGGTGCTCACTTACATCCTGCTCTTGGATACATGGTAAACTTTGGGCTGAAGGTACATGAGCCTGTGAGGTGCATCCTGCTTGTTCTTCCCTAAGAAAAATAAGAAGAGCTAACAAGCTCTGGCTTTTCTGCACAGTTACTTTTACTGTTCCGCTTCCTTGGCCAGACACGGCTGTTTGGTGCAGAACAGTATTAGTAGCTGCTGACTGCAACAAGCTCTTGGTCACCGGTGCCTAGGCAACAGCTCATTTTTTTGGGTCAGTGATTAACTCTTTTTTTGTCTACTCAGATCAGCTGGATTGAATTACCCTTTGATGGGGAACAGAACCTCTGGGCTGAAAAAAAAAATCACTGGCCTCTGCTTTTAGAAAAATTTCAATGGCATCCACAGAGTGAGGTTAGCTGTGATAACATGCTGGATGCAAACACTGGAAAAGATTTAATATCACCAGGCAAAGAGACTGAACTTAGTAACTGTGCGACTTTTACTTAAGAAGGTTGGCATAAAAATTCCCTCCCCTCACAAAGTTAGTGGTAGTTAGGAACTGTTTCTTTCCTGAATGCCTTTAACCCCTCATATTCCTAGCTGGCTTTCAGTTTTCAGTTACAGTTCTAATGACACAGAGCAGCAAAATGTTCTTCCCCAAGATATTGGAAGGGGAAAAAGTTGATGCTAGGAGAGTCTCCATCCTGGTCAAACATGGCCTGTAAATTATTTTAACCTGATAGGAGACACAGGATCCTAGTCCTGAGATGAAAAACAAGCATGGCATTGCTAAAGGCAGCTGAGTTCCAGTGCACTTCAGGATAACCTGGGCCAGTAATTTTTAATTCAGGAAGTTCAGGTTTTACTTTGCTAGCCTTCAGATGACCTGCAAAACGTAGGCCTGGAATTACGATTCCTACAGAACACGCCTTTGCAAAGGCTTCCTTAATTATGGGCTGGGAAAACAGTCCGATTTTCTTTAAGAGGAAAACGCCAGTGAACCGAGCAGACAGCAAGAAACGCGGAAGGCTGCGCTGGGCTCAGCCCTGAGGCCTGAGCGGGGAGGAAGGGGCGGCCCGGCCCGGCCGGGGCCCACGGGGATGGAAGGGCGGCCCGGCTGGGGCCGCGGGGCCGGGCGGCGGCGGCCGCGCGGGCTCTGGCGCCCCCCGGTGGCCGCGCGGCGGCTCCGCGGGCTCCGGCGCCGCTTCCCGCCTCGGTCCCGCCTCGCGGTGCTCCATGGCGTCGCCGTGGGGCCCGGGCCCGCGCGCGGGCAGCTCTGGCGGGCCCGGGGGCCTGGTGCTCGCGGGCTGCCGAGGCCGCCAGCCTTGCCGGGGCGCGCTGGGTCGGTGCGGAGCTTGTCCTTCCCTCAGCGCGCGTGGTGGGTGCCTGCTGCTTGGTAGATGCTGTGCGACCTGTTGGGTAGGGGCAGCTGGCAGAGGTGTCCCCCCTGCGCCACAGCGCAAGGGGCCTCCCAGGCCGGCATCAACTACTCACAAGTTTTCCCGTGAGCTGCCGTGTGGACACGGGCAGGCCGCCTGCCAGCAGCTGGCCGGCAAGGGCTGTGAGGAGGGGTGCACGTAGGGAGCTCAGCGCTGTCCTGGGGCACCCACACACCACCCCCTCAGCAGGGAATGCAAAAAAAAAAAAAAAAAAAAAAGGCAAGAAAACTACACAAAACACGCAAAAAAAAAAAAAAAAAGTCTTGCAGTAGCAGTGCACGTACAGGCGCGTTCAGCAGTGCCCTCTTTGAGGAGCGCAGCTGAGGTGCCACAGCAGTTCTGGGGAAGCCTCTTGCACAGAGCAGCATCCCTCAGGACAGACCCTCGCGCAGAGGGGACGCTGCTGTGAGCGGCATCCATGCGCTGGGCATGCCGGCGGGAAGACCCACCGCGGCATGTGTGCAGCCAAAGGAAGGATGCAAACCCAACCAATAAAATAGCCACTGACTGTCTTTAACAGAGGAACACATCATCTTGTTCTGTTTTGTGTTTCTCAGCTTCAGAAGACCGTTCACCCAGCAGTAAATAATCTTGGCTGCTGTCTTTTACCTACAGAAAAATCCTGTATAAGAAAACAGCCAAATTTAGCTCTAACCGTAGAAACTTTCAAAAAGTGAAGCATTGGTCTAGATAATGAAATGGGTATATCTGACTTTCTCCTTATTCCTAAAAGTATGTTCCCTGCTTGTGCTTTTCCCACATTTACATATGTAAATAAATAAATAAATAAATAAATAGCATCTTCTACCATTTTCAGGGAACTCCTCATCTTCATGTATCTAGGAGGGTCACACGCTTGCTGGAGTCCCTCAGCCACAGCAAGGCAATAGAGACTTCTGGAGCTGCAAAAGACACTCCCTGTATAGCTCCGAGATACTGAGATTAGCAGCTGTATCAGGCCCCATAATGATTAGTACTAGCCTTCACACTGGAAATTCCCTCTTCTGAAAACAAATTTGAAAGCTTTTTTTCTTGTGATTGCGGGAAGAGGAGGCAGAGGAGCTTCTTGTGGAGCTTCCCTCGGCCCATCCGTCCACCAGGAGAGCTGGATGCAGAGGTTGAGACTCTTCCAGTCCTGGAAGCGACCAAGCGGGACAAGCGGCAGACGTTTCAGCTGCCGTTGCAAACTTTGCAATGTGTAGTTTTACAGTGTTTTTGGTTAAGTGCAGAGGTCCAGTGCATGAGGACAGCAATCAGCACGCTACCCGCGCCACCCTAGCCAGCGCTGCCTTGTTCTAATGTCATCCCTATCCCCCCAAGTTAAGCAGTTCTAGTTATAACAGCCTTTCAGGTGACCCAATCATATACTTGGTAAAGCTCTTCTAAAGGAGATTACTTTCCAGTGTATGAAGTCGTACATATAAGTACTGCAGCTTAATAACGGGTTAGTTTGAATGTCAGTTAGGATCAGGTAATGTTTATAAACTCCTGATATTTTAGCAGTTTTTATCCAGGGCTTTTTAAATTTGCATCAAACTGAAACTTGGCATGTAAGCTGTCAGCACAGATGCTAATTATATTCCAAATATAGAATATGTTAAAGCTTTTGAAGGTATCAAATGGTTTATTTATGCAGTGATTGCAGATGTTTTAGTGCCTGGCTGTTTTAGCTATATAAGGCTTACTGTTTTAGCTATATAAGGCTATGTAAGGCTCACCTCTTCCTTTCCTTCATTCTCCATAACTTACAGGCCTGAACAATGAGGAGCAACTCCTGAGGAGTAACACAATAATCACACAAGGACAGTGTCCCCTAGAAATAAATTTAAGCAACTTTCAGTTGGGTTTTTTTTTTTTTTTTTTGCTGAAATAGAACTATCTTTATGGAGCAACCATAAAGAAAAGAAAAGCAAAATAAGCGGAAAAGAGACTTAGAGTGAACCCCTCCAAGTAATGACATATTACTAGGCAGCACTGTACAAGGAAAGGCAAAATCCTCAGGCCCGAAGTATCTTCTACCATTTCTACCATGTTGCACAAAGTGGCTCCTGCGAAACCCTTGCTGTGCAGCGCCAGGTTCTGGTAGCTGAGCAAACAAAACCAGCAGAACATGCAGCACGGGACCTTTCATGCAAAACATCCTGCCAACAGCCGCAGAGAGGTCAGGTCAATGTAAGTGTGTCGCACATCCTGTTCTTGACGGACAGAAGGGAGAGATGGAAACGCCAGCAAGGTCCTCCCTGGGCACGGAGCTGTTACAAATGTCTGTCCAGAGCACAAGTTTCCCTTTATAACGAAAAGAGGCAACATACACATAATAACATTTAAATTGTTTAAAAGTAAATGATAAGTGTCCTACATTATTATACATATATTAATACACAATACTAATGTTAATATATTATACATATATATTTTACAGATATACAATTATTAATTTCCTAAGTTTTAAGAATGTTTACAGGAAATAAAGGCTGTGATGAAATTTCAAGTGAATTTACTCACTTGTGTTTTTTTGATCCAGTGATCAGCGTACCCTTGGTAGAAGTACCCATTCCAGTACAAGTTCACTTGCATTATTACTTCCTTACTCTACTCTTCCTGGAGAGGCTGCTCCATCTGTTTAGGGGAGGGGAAAAAAGAAAAAAAAAAAAAAGAAAAAAAGAAGTATTTAGAATAATGGTTATAGGTGAGCATATTTAGGTTTAGATTCTGTCATTCTACTGAGTTCAACTGGATCCATATGTGAATACAGAGCAGTCACAAGATTATAAGCTTGAAGCATTTGCCTTTTCATAACGCAGTATCTTTACCATTCAATTATTTGGTCTTTCCACAACAGTAGAGTGCCAACATTCGTTACCTCTTTATAAAGACTCATCAGTACTTTTTTACTCTAAAATTAAATGCATATTATGCTCAGTGATGTCAAAATAACAGATAAAGATATCACATCAAGAGCTGCTTCACGGCTGAGCTTTAGCAATGCAACGTCTGGCAATTACAATGTGCAAATGTTTTAGTCCTTCCTGTTAGGATGAAGCAACAAGAACCTGAGTTAATTTCTTTGCATTTCTGACAGCTGTGGATGACAACCAATTTATGGTCAGGTTTGGAAGTCATGCCAGCTGGAGCTTACTCGTCACACAAGCACTCCCGTATGCCACTGGGAAGGTCACATATCCTATGTCATCATTCGATGGGGAACCTTGTCTGGAAGTCTCCTCCCCTCCTGCTACAGCTGTCGCTGTGAGCAGGAAAGCATCGTGTTTTCTGGTATAAGGAATACTTTCTCTGAAAGGCAATTTACAGAGACCTCAGGGATCCACTTTCTCAGCTCCACAGACCTGGACCATGTTTTTGTTAAAACATGCCTAGGGCTGTACAGAACTCCAACTCTTTAATTATTTTAAAAGGTTAAATTCATTTTATGATCCGGGGAAAAAAAAATGCCCCCCCTAAAAAATAAAACCCAGTCTCACCGGAGATTCTTCTCTATGAATCCTTTGCTTTTTGCATTCATATCTGAAAGGACATTGGAAAATAAGGGACTGCATTTTCCCCTAGTGTACATGCTGGGTAGAAATGACACAGCCCTGTATGATTCAGGAAGAAGAATATATCCGTATACCAGTGATGACCTCAGGCTCCTCTTGGAGCTACAGGGAGGCAGAGACCTTAACATCCTACATCATCATCCACTCCTGCTGCATGTGTATCGTGTTGGGTTTTTTTTTGTTTTTCTTTTTTTTTAAAAGACCCTCTCCTCTTTAAAGAGCGGTTCCAAGGGGCCTGAAGAACAGTTTAGGTATGGGGAGCCGCACAGCCCCAGTGCCCGACACCCTCCTCCTCTGGTGCCGGGGGGACTCGGGCACACCAGCCCCAGGCCAGGGTCCCAGGGTGGCCCTTTGGGGCCCCTCGCTGCAGTCCCGAGGGGTGCACAGGGTGATCTGCTCCGGAGGGAGCAGACGGGACGAGCACTCCTTGTCCAGCCACCTCTTGCGTCTCCTCTGCTGCAGTGGAGCACATCCCGCTGGAATTTTTCCCCTTAGGAAACCAGGGCTAGCACCAGAGCTCTCTAGTTCTCACAAGTCTCTGCCGTACCTGACTTCAAGGGAGAAATGTAAAAGCTCAATGGTGGGTCTAAGTTGTTCGTGCTGCACATAGCCATTTGGTCACAAATGCTTCAAGCTAGCATAAACCACCTGCGATAATGAAAGAAACTGGCCATCCTTCACCATCCTTCTAACTACTTGCTGCCATCCCACTGTTCCCTTTTGCTTGTGTCTGCAGGAAAGTTGCTTGTGGTCACGTGGAGAACTGGTTGTATCTATATTGGGAAAAAAAAACAAGCCAGGTTGCAAAGAGCTCATGGAAAGAGCCTGTCACTGAAGAGACCACCAGGAGGACCCAGGTCCAGTAACGCTAAGCTCTGCGGTGCCTAAATGTTAGGCATTCGCTCCAAAGCTGGAATCCACAACACTTGTGTAGGTGTCTGTTTCCCATGCATTGCTCAGGAAATGGTGCCTAAATTAGCCTGGTCGGGGGGAAGCTGAAACAGGGCACCCCTTGAACCAGGGACCCGTGGCCCACATTCACTCCTGGTGCCTTCCTGCTGAGAGCACGCTCAGGGAATGCACACCTAAGTCAGAGACCGTGAGAATTGCCCAAAAAAGGTAGAGCAAATATTTTTTGCTCATGGTGTGATTTGACACATGACATACCACAGCAAGCATCCAGGGCAAAGAATGCAATCCTAGTACGTATCAGATGTAATTAAGGATGTATGACTTAAGTACCAACTCATGGCAGCAGCCTGAAGTGATACCGTTGGAGTGAGATACAACATTGTGGTTTTACTTCCCATCTAGGGAGTTGTAATATGTGCTAAAAATACTGTGCTGGGCACATGGACATTGGGAGCGTTAGCACATGTGGAGGAGGAAGATGGAATGTCAGTCCCTGGAGAAGCAGCCCCAGGAGAGGCCAAAGCTCAGAAATGAGCTCTTTAAGGTAAGCCTTGCCTCACCGCCAGCAAGATGAGCGAGGGCTCGATCATTCTTTACCCTTCTCTCCTCCTTTTCTCTTGGGGGATGAAAAGTGATCTATGGTTAGAAATGAGTCACAGGTAAGTAAAAAATATAGGTAATTATTTGGACCATATAAAACACTAGTTTACTGCCAGACATTATATCTGTTTAGCTCCTGGAAATATTATTTTCCTCCTTGTGTTTTGTCAGGAGAGGAGTCATTTATTATTTAGCTGTGTTTGAAGTCACTCCTCTCTGGGGAAACACGGAAGGGGATGCTTGACTCACCAGGACTGCAGTGACTAAGGCTCCCCTCCAAAGCTGCCATGTGCCCCGGCTCTGCTCGCCCAGCTCTGGGTGGCAGACAGCGACCGAGGCAGGACTGCGAGCAGCTAAAGAGCAAGGTTTGCTCCAGCAACCTCTTAGTGTCCCTGGCCCTCTTCTGTAATTCTCATCAATTAATTCAGCGCTCTAATGTAAATTAATACATTCAAGTTCTACAGACAATCTACAGTCAGACAGAAGAGAGTAAAGAGAGGCATTTCTACACAACGTCGCTTGTGAAGAATGGTAACGTAACAAACGGTGTTCTGGATAAATAACAAATTAACCAGTGCGGTTAGATTCCCACTTCAGTGAGCTACAGAGCCCATTTTACTTAAATGCAAAGTTTCATTAACTACAATCTACTTCTTAGTAACTTACTCGTTATAAGAGCAATTAAATTTGTTTTACTTCTCTAGTGCTACACATTTTAATAATTCTAGTCATAACCATGCTGTAGTCAAAACTCATGCTTTTATATTCCCGGCCAAAAGGGAATCTTATCCCAAAGAAATGGTATTCCAGAAGGCTCTCTTTCTGCCCATTATTCTCAAGAGAATTATGGAGTGCATCGCTGCCTGAGTTAGCTCTTGAGAGAAAGATTTCACTTTACTGCCTCTATGGATGAAAAGGGAAAAGTGAGGAAAACAATATTAATTTGGATGTCTATCCAAGCAAGGAAAACTATGTTAATTTGGATAGTTATCCACACTTTGATAAGTCACACTTAAGATGCCAAGAGCAGTGTATAGGCATTACTCACCCTTGGTTCTGGTGTGCCTAGAAGACCAGAAGCTCTCTGTGCTGCATGTTTTAAAAATCTGAAATAAAAAGGCAGGGTCAAAGAAAGCTGGCAACCTGCATGTGATACAAATGACTATAAATGAATGCTAACAGATGGAAATAGTGAAACAGCTCTGTTGCAGGCTGCTCAGGGATCTCAAGAATCGGTTTGCAGAAAAGATGGGAGGGGATAAAAGCTTCTTTAAGAAAAGGCTGATTCCTAAAGAAGGCCACTTTTCTCAATATCTTTAAAAAATGTTGTCATAAACTATGCATGATCCTAATGGCTACTTAGTGAGTTTGACATATTTCACCTCATAGATCTGGCACATTTAATGTGCTATTGGACTGACACAACGCTGGGATCTCCAGGTTAAGAAGGGACCCACACCCTACACCGTGTCTGTCCTACACCGGAGGACATCCCTGCCCTTCCTGGTGGTGCTCTGAAGGCAGAAAGCCGGCTCCCTGGCTCTGGGGCAGATTTAATCAGAATTAGCTGGACGTCAGCACGTTTTCAGTGTCCCTGGCTCATGGCAAACCTATTCCTGGGGCAACAAGGTTTCTTGGGTCTTTGTATTGCACAGAGGCAGCACAGTCCCAATCCAAACCAGTGCCTCTAGGCGTTACCACCACACAAGCAAGAATTACTAATGGTAACAGGCTGCTGTACAACCTGAAGGCTCTGAGACGTCCTTGTCCGAGTACTTTTCCATTTGCTCACAGTACGGGCACATCACCGGTGAGTATCGGCCTGCTCCCCGACGCACCCCGCAGCGGTGCCAGGCTCAGCTCCCATGCAGGACCAGCAACGCCGCTCTGGGCACCCAAGCTTGAGCTCTTTGCCCTCTGCTCTCCACTGTAGAAGCTTTTGCCCATTTCAGCGAAGCATTTCTGCTTCAAATTGGCTGGCAGAGTGGAGTTTTCGCTGAAAAATGCTTTAGGAAGGAGAGAAAGTGAATGATAAGGAAGGAAGCCAAACTATAAGTGGTAGGAACCTTATTTTCCTTTTCAAAGTAAAGTTAAATGTATGTGATCTAATGTAAAATGACAGGATGCTTTTGAAATATATATAAAATGTTTCATTTCAGTAATAAGAGACACTGAAGATCTTTCTTGCTACCAAGCAGACATGCGGGTGACGTTGGCTGGCAGCCTGTTACAACACAGTAGTACAAAGGGATTCTTTTCAAGTATTGACATAATGTGGATTTTTAATTGGGATCTTACTACCATAACGTCAGTCAACCGAGACGAATTTCTCTTGTTTTGGAAGTAATAAATCTTGCCAAGCAGCGTTAACCAACACTTCAGGCAGCTTTGCTGGTTCATATTTCTCTATATCCCGCAGTACAAATTGCTGGAATAGGAGAAGGCACTTAGGCATCCATTTCAAACATTTCTTTCATAGTTTTGGTCAGCATCATCTGACTACATGAAAGAAACAGCAAGGGATTCATCATGAGTATAAACCCAGTAAGCTCCATCTCAGTCTTAAGTACAAAAAACAAAATAGAAAGAAAACAACTTTTTCTTCCTTCTCCCCCTCTGTGTTCCCATCGACTCCATAGACTTGGTGAGAACTCTTGGAACAATTTCCCGTTTCTACACTTCTAATTTAGATGCCTTACTAGAAATGAATATTTCATAGCATATCAGGACTCTCTTCTTCAAAGCTTCATCTCTTTAGTGTTAATTATTTCAACAAGACCTACACTAAAGGCAAATCCTGTCACTTCTCTAGATTGCCTACATTAACACTATAAAATTCGCTTCGTATGACAGTTAAAGTTCTTGCTTCTAGTATTTCTTCATTTTTGATTTTTAGAAACTCTCACATAAGGAAGTGACACAGTTTTCACTGGAAAACAGACACCCTGCAGTTCATCATTTCTGGCCTTATTATCAGAAAAGGTGAAACTACTAAAGCTTTATTGCTACTTCTCCTCACTCTCCACGGCCCAAACCGTCTCCCCTTTCTATGCTAGCAATTCCCATAGCAGGATGCATAAAGTTTAACCCTGAGGTCAGTCTGAAATAGTGTGTGACCCTGCCTGGCTCTCACAGACCAGCTGAGCATCCCTCTCAAGGGAGTAACAAAAGCAGCTGGGAACAGCCCATGAGAAACATGGGTTGGGGGTGGTATTTTGCACGTTCTGGGCTGAAATAATCATCTGGGGAACTTGTGGCTGCCTTGTGCTGCCCAAAGAGCGTAAAGCAAGAGCAGGGCAGTCAAGAGCCCTGTGATAAAAATCACATTCAACCTTTACTAACCTAAACTGAGTTTGCTCTTCTGACTGCGAACTAGCTTTGCACATAGTCACCAGCTCCCAGCATCACTCAGCCAGTGTCCCAGGCACTTTGCATCTACAGTAAACTGACAGAGGATGCTAACAATTTTTTAAAGTACAGTTTTCTCTAAAGGTGTAATGATGATCAGAAAACAACCTGCTGCTTATTATCAGACTGTATAGATTTTAACTAGTTTTAGATGTGAGATCTTAACTAACTCCCATTCCTTAACTTTTTTAACAGTGACTTTAGCCTTACACCCTTCATAGGCAAGATGAAATAGTAAACTAGATGAAATGAAATTTGGGATTGGCTCTGCATTTAAACTGAGCTCTCATTTTATTGTACTATTTAGCAAACACAAGGATAAATGCTTGACAGGTGGTGCTACTTAAATAGCAAAACAGCAGGAGGATTTGGGGAGGCATAGTATGATTAGGATTAAGTCTTTTAAAGAAAAATACTTTCTGAAATTGTAGTTCAACAAACTGATGCATAATATTTTCCATTTGTCCATAAAAGCTATTGCAGCAGTTCCTGCAGGAAGGCCAAGGTATCACACGGGTGTCTCTGGGGTAGGGACAGAGCCTTTGCGTGTGAAGCTCTGTTGGGCCCAGATGATTCTCAAATGCAAAGGGCTATGTGTAGGTTAATTTCAAAAGCTTTGCATCATTTAGCAGTATTGTTTGTGACCGAGGGCCACATTTGCAATATCTGTGTTTGTGGCTATTAAGCGCTTGCACCTTTTTCAAATTTTCTGTGGTTGATGCTGCTTCTGTTGGGCTGTCACCCTATATCCCATAGGGAAAACTGACCCTGCTGAAACTGCCAGAATCCCACGGGGCTGATGTATCTTTATTTGCTAGTGCTGTTAGACACAACAAGGACTGATGTCATTGAAGTTATCCATGAAGCAGGGCCACCACTCAAAAGAAATAAAAGAAATAAAGGGATCTTGCAGTTTATCTGCTAGATATCTGCACTTCGAGTACAGAAATTAAGGGAGGGAGCAATGACAGACAGAAATGTTAAGAAGTTTTTTTGTATGCCTAAACACTTATTCGAGGATTGAAAAATACTGGAAAACAGACAGTGAACATAAACATATTATTTAGGCGAAGACCAAAATACAAAAACAATCATGTAAAAACTGAAGTTCAATAAAAAAAGAAACAATATGTATTTTCCACCAGAAAACCCATCAGTATTTATCTCCCTCTGCTAATATAATCACAGCTTAGGCTAACCCCATCATAAAACTTAAATGAACTGGAAAAGAGAACATTCCGTTTTGTGGATCTAAAAAACAATTGAATACAACGTTAAGTTCTCTATTGGCTTTGGCAGCAACTTCTTTCAACTCCTATGCCCACACCTCCTACTCCTTCGCAAGAGACTTCAAGCAGCTGAATTTGGCTCGGTTCGCACGGGAGCGGCGCAACCTGCCCAGGTAAAACCTTGCAAGGTTTTACCAGTGCCCGAAACGTGCCCGAACCTCTGGGAAAGCCTGAGGCCAGCCAGGAAAACAAAGTGCTTTTGGTCCCTCAGCTGCAGCTCTGGGCTGAGGCTGGAGAGGCTCGCGCAGGCCTGGAAGGGGGCAAAGACTGCGCATCGGTGGACACGCTTCTCACTCACCCCAGCTGCGGCGCCTTGCGACACAAACGCGTTTGTCGAATTTTTCTTGAATCAAATTCTGAACTGAAATAATGCACGATTCAATGAAACTGGAATAAGGTGAATAAATATTCCAAAAGCGTGAACAACCGATAAGAAGGCATGAATAAAATAAAATGACTTCCATGTGTATGTACTTATTGAAAATGGGATTTGTCTTTTAAACAAAGAGCACTGTACACAAATACACAATCCAGTTTATTAGCACAATTGGCTGAACAACAGTTTGAAAATAAGATACACATGTTAGCAATTATCACACTATCCTACATTTAGGCCATTAAAAAGCATAGTTCATGTTCTTTTGTACAGAAGTTGTACACTTTCTAGCATGCCCTTACTTAAAGATTTTTAAAAAAAAAATCTCCTCACCATGTATTTTATATATAAACCTGACTACTCAATCCATGTTTCAACAGGAGAGGGCACATGTAGAGTCAGTCATGCCTGTGTTCTGGAGTACAAATTAAAAAGACCTTCCATCCAGACTGGATGTAACAGAGAGGGGACGCGTTTATGGGATTCAGTGGTGAGCGTGTTTGCCCGTAGCCCCTGGTGCTGAGGATGGAAGAGCAGGAGATGTGCGGCCTGGCTCAACTGGGAAGAGCTCTGTCCTTGAGCTGCTCCATTAGGGCCATTTTACCTTTCAAAATGGATTTTCTAAGCTCCCAATCTGTAAATTGCGACAAAACAGACCTTCCCGACCTTCCATAAGTAATATTAAGGGAACTTAAAACTATTAGCCTGGTAGATATTCTGATAATAGTTACTAAAGTCTTCTTTTAAAAAACAAAACCAAAAAATAGCACTAAACAGAAAAGGCTTCTCTCGTGGGAGCAGAGCTTACAAACGAGCAGCAGCCCATTCAGTATTCGGGGTCCCACACGATACCCCGGCCATGTCCTTGCTCCCACCAGGCAGAGCCAGCGCTCAGCCCCAGCTCTGCTGCCTGCCCTGATACCGGCCGTAAGCCCAAGGCTGCTCCACGTGGGAACAAGCCTCTCTGGGATGGACAGCCTTCTCTTCCCGACATGAAAACCTAAGCTCAGGACTTACCACGTGCTCAGGGAGAACCACGGGCTCAGAGGAACTAGTTAGGGCAAAGGAAGCAAGTTCGATCCAACTGCAAGAAACCAACACAGATGGAAGCGAGGACACCATACTCGGTCTGAACAAGTGGCCGCTCTTCCATAAATGGGACAGAGGATTATCAAGGATAATATTCCAACAATCTCCCTATAGCAGGAAAGGCATGCTAGGCCCCAGCTTCATTAATTCAGTGCTAGGCTATGACATGAGAAGGACCTGGGCAGCAAGCAGCAACACGCTTGCAGGGATGGTTAGGGGATGATTACTCACTGTTCTCACAGTGCAAGAGCTTTGTGCTGCAAATCAAGGAAAAAAATGTTAAAAAAAAAAAAAGAGGAAATGCTTTTTTTTTGCCTTCTTTCTGCCACAGATACATTGGTCACTTGCGGATCTGGGTGTTGCACTGGTCATGAGTCAAGAGAAATTGGAAGACGCTGTTGCAGTAACTCTGTCCTGGGTTACTGACCATGTTGCAGGACTCGGCTCTCTCAGCAAAGCCTGGGATAAATTACAGCAGAGACCATGTCAGTCTACAGCTGCTCTGAGCAGATCAGCAAAACTTGGGAAAACTCTTTCCCTGCTTTATGCTACAGCGTTCCCACAACTGCTAGAAAATTTCAGATTATTTTGAAGTTTTGCTGCTGCTTCTAATGTCACTTTTCAGTAAAGCTAA